GTTAATAAAAAGAGAGTTTCCCCTTACAAGCTAACTCTCTTCCATCTGTCCTATCTCCAACTTAACCCGATCAAACACCTGCGCTTTGTGCGTATGATCAAAGTATTACATGGAATGCCCACTAACAGACGTACCTTAAAAAGGACTCCCAACAGGATTGTTCAAGGTTATGCCTCCGAAAAGATTTAAAAAGAAAGAGAGAGAGGGGAAAAGGGAAGCATTCGACACGATGCCCTAAGTAAAAAAAAACTTCTTAAAATACGAACTAAGCGGCGTTCAACATAACAACGGTTTAACTGGAGGTTATACATTACACAACACAAATAGAAGAATCCTACATGAAGTTACATAAGATGAACGGGCAACGTTCCCAAGCTCAGGTCTCGACATCAACTTCCTCGTCTCCGGGAGCAATGTCTTCTGTATTCCCCGTATCCGCATTCGACGCAACATCTGGCGCTAAAAGAGTAGCTGCATTCCCTTCCGACTGATCAACCGTAGACACGGGAGCAACCTGCGATGTTACCTCCACAATGTGTGATTCCGAGCCGACGACCTGCTCTCCTGCCTTGGAGGGCGCCTCCTCAATTCGATCATCTACGGGAGTCGGGTCCGTGGGCAATGTCGCAGCGACGGTTTGAGAGTCATCCACCGGAAGCGTCGGAAAGTCTTCATGCGGGCTGCGGAGCCCTCGCGCGACCGTCGAGTCAATTAACCCCGAGTTGGAGCCAAAGGGATCAATTCCAGATAATAGGCGGTCGTCCACGAATAAGGATGGAAGCACCAGAGGAGAAAGAGTCATATAACTCTCAGGAAGATCCCCAACCTCCACGCTATTCATCTGCTCCTTATACTCTGAAGCTTTCGTCTCGAAGGTTGTTACGATGTTGGTCGGAATAGGATGACCCTTCCTGCCGATCATTTCGAGGCAGCTTTTGACTCCGGAAGCTTGACCGTAAAGTTGGCGCTTCTCCTCGTAGATGTCGCGACGAGTCAAGTAATCCCGAATATTCTGAAAACAACACTGAAATTTAGACGCATATGCTGTCTGAACGCGGACTCTCTCCAGTGTGACCTCATGAGTACGCGATCGACGCAACCTCTTAAGCTCTTGATCTTTCTCCTTGATGGTCGCGGCCATCGCATCTTTCTCGCGCTCCGCTTCGGCCAACGCCACCCGAGCGACCCTGGCTTCTTCCTCTCGAGCGTCGGCTCTCTTCTTATAGTCAAGGTTGCGGGCGCGCGCTTTGTCCCTTTCGTCCAAAAGCTTCTTGGAGACTTCGAACATCTCGGCCTTCTTCTTTTCTAAAAGAGTGTCCCTCGCAGCAACTCTCTTCTCTGCCTTCTGACACTTCTCCATCGAATGACGGAGGGCTCGATCATATTTGTTGACCAGATGATTTCGTCGGGCCATAGCCTGCGTAGTGGGAGAGAAAGAAACCATTAAAACAGGTCACAGCACCAAACAAGATCAAACCAAAGGAAAGTGGGACTAACGTTGATGTCGGCGCTAGCAGAATCGGTGAAGTCGTCCCCGAATATCAAGTCCGAGACGGGAGGAAGTGGCTTAGGGCCGCCCCGAATCTGGCGAACTAAGTCGGCACATTTGTTCGGTAACGTACACAGTGGGTCCACGTCCTCGTGGTGGAAGTCCACCTTATCATTGAACCCCTTCAAACCGCGGCCAGGAAGAGTGACCCCTCCTTTCTCAACAGCCAGTTGCGCAGCCCTAGGGATCGGAACGTCAACAAGAGGAGGAGCAGAAGCCGGAACAGAACTATCCGGGGCTCGAGGTCTTCGAGCGGATCCCTCAACCTCAGACGACTTAGACCTGTGAGAGGAAGGAGCAGGCGTGGGATCTTCGGGGACCCGGTCCTTAGTGGCAGGCTCGCCTGTCCCGGAAGTCTTCGAACTTCCTTTCTTCTTCTTCTTGTTCCGAGGAGTCTCGCCTTCCGCCTCCACCAGATGTTCCTTGTCCCCGGCAGTAACATCCGGGCCCAACGGCGAGCTGTGGTCGTTGCCCGGGTTATCCACCAGCATCGAGTCCTCCCTCGGGACTGGAGAAGAAGTCGGGACCGCAACGATCGGATTCGGCTCCAGAACCACCAGAGCGCGTTCATTCCTCTCCTCGACGGGAAACGAACTCTCGGGGACCGACGGACTCCCCGGAACATTGGTGTTCAGTCTCTTTCTCTTTCTCGTTAGAGGTTCGACCCCTTCATTCATAGACGCCTCGTCGTCATCATCCCGAGCAGGAGCATCAGTTGCCGTTTCACCCAAAGGATCGATCCCTGTGGTCGGTGTGTTGTCTTGGAGTCGGGAAGGCTCAGCCTCCTCAATCTCGTCCTCAATAAGATCGCAGAGGTTCACAACGTCCTTCATATCCTTTTTGGCTCTTTTCTTCGGAGGAGAACGCTCTTTGGAGAAGATATGAAGACGATTACGACCTCGAACCTCGGCTCGCAAATCAGATCTCCAGTCAACTGAGAAAAATGATGAAGGGAAGCGAAGTTAATATCACAGTGGTAGAGTAATCGAACGACGGAGAAGGTGAACAGAATACCGAGTACCTCTAGAAATCCGATCAAGTGAACGTCGGATGCGCGAAAAGGAGACGTCGGACCAACGAAGGGGAGAAGCACGAGCAATTCTACGAACGACGTGAAGAAAGTCGTCGGGATAATCCTTCGTATTGGAATGCGGAACTGCAAAAATAAAGCCAAGAAAAAAAAAGATTAGATCTGAAACGAACGGTAATGTGTTCGGCTAAGTATTCTACCGAAGCTCGAGTTCCAGAGAACCCTATAATCCTCGCTGGGAGGCTCCTCGAATGCACTCTTATCCGACCTCACATAAAAATACCAACGCTGCCAATCCTCGGTCTTGTTCGGAGGGCCCTGCAATATGCCCAAACCTGATCGCATCTTCACGGAGAAGTAACCATTCTTCATGTTCGACGCCCTATTAAGCTCTTCAAAAGTCCGAACACTCAGCGGCAGATCTTCCTCGGCAGCCATAACCATGAGACCGACAGCTACTCGGAAGGAACCATTAATAAACTGCGAAATCGCCGCGTCCCGACGAAAACAGTAGGAGGTAATCAACCAAGGAATCGGGAACCATAGACGGGTATCCTTCTGAAAATACGACTCGTAGACGCACTGATACCCGATTGGTGGCGTCCAGGGCCTCTGGTTCGCGTTTGGGATGATGAATGTCGCGCCCTGTCCTCCCCGTTCCCGAAGAATTGTCTTGACGGTTGCTATAGTTGACCGGGTCTTGAGAACGTTGTCCCAATCCTGGCCGTCCACTTTCGTTGGACGAGAGAATTCCGGATGAAGGGCCGGCAATTTATCGAACAGCCCTCCCGGAAAGAAGTGAACGGGGATCATTGGCTCATCTTCCGAGCAAAGAGAGTTGTCGGGCGCATCCCTAACTCGAGAACCGCTCGAATCTTCTCCCGACCCGAGAGAGTTTCGCGCTCTGGCAACCTTTCCTTCCCGCCTAAGTCTCTCGGAATCAACCATCACGAGTAGTTGCTGAGATAAATCTAGTCCGTCCTGGTCACGTAGAGCCTCTTGATGCGCTAGCTCGGATTCGATTAACTGACGCCTGGGAGATACTCGATCTTCGGGGAAGCAGGAACTGTTCGATATCTCTTTACCTTTCTCGGTCGATGTTAAACGTCTACCAAGAGACATAAATCGGATAATAGAGAGAGAAAGGAGAGGAAGAGAGAGAGAGAGAGGATACCTGTGTAGAGCAAAGAAGATGAATAAATGAGGGAGGAAGGAGACTATTTATAGGGGAGGAAGCAAACGCGCGTTCCAATGAACAATAATTAGGTCTACGAGGCCTATTGGGCCCACGAAGCACCTAGAAACGCGTGAATCGGCCCGAGACTCTTCACCTCCCGATCGAACCGACCTCGCGAATCGAGATTAACCGCCTCGATTAAAGCTAAACCGAATCCGGTTTACACCGAGTAACTTATTCTCCCGACCACCGTTATCCCACTTCACTAAACCCGACCACTGGCTATATGAACTGGGGGGGACTTATTGTAGGGGATATGATCAAATTCAACCCTCAAGGCCTGTCGAATAAGAGGCCCAGGCCCATTACTTGGTTCGCACGAGCGAGGAGAATCTTTAGGCGCAACGCGACAAGGGAGTCCGTGTGAGCTTACGTCATCATCCGTACCGAGTAAGACGATGAGGCCCGCCGAGGAGGCCCATGGAGCGAAGGATACGTCCCATTAGGTTTTCCGTACAATAACCTATAAAAGCGAAGAGGTGACGAACGGAAGAAGGATACGAAAATAGACTGACTGAGCGGCAACCAAACTAGGGTTTCACTATAGCGTTGTTCTTAGATCTGTCCGTACAACTCTCAGAGCTTCCGAGCATCATTGTTTCCTTTGTAATCTTCACTTTCCGATCAATAAAATCACTCTTCGCTTTCATTTGTTCGTCTATACCTTCGTAATAACCCACCGACGAGTTTCCGTCGATTATTCACTTGTTATCACCGAACTCGGTTCAAACAACGACAATCCTTGTTTTTGTAAAATATGATACCAACTATTATCTAGTATTACAAAATTGTCTATTACAAAATTGTTGAAGTAGTCATATATCTTATGTTTCAAAAAAAAAGAAAGTCATATCTCTTATATATGCATTATGCAACGTTATAAGTAATACTTGATAATAGTATAAATGTATAAATTTATGTGTAAATGATTAAATGTATAAGTAATTTATTAAATGGACCAAAAAGGTAAAATGTGAAAATCGCAGTAGCAGTTAAGCCACATATAATATTTCTGGCTTTTTCAGGCAGATTTTTAAATAGTCCATTAGAATTAGTTCAAGGCCCACTTATTGTATCACGACATAGCATTATCAAATATAATTAGTTATTACGTCTCTTTTCCCCTTCGTCCATCTCTTCTCTCTCTATTTAGTTCTCTTCGTTTTCACTTTATTATTCCTCTGCCGATCTCTGGCGGCGACATCTCTTCTCCAATTTCTTCCTACCTTTTTTTCTCCGATCTCTGCTGGTGCGATCTCCACCAATTTTCGACACCGCCGTGTTTATGCCATCCGCTCAGATTTATCTTCGCGCTTTTCATATTTTTGTATTATATTTATCTTCAAACCTTTTATTTACTTTTCTCGGACAGTCAGCATTTTACGCTTCTTGAAAGGCAATTGACATTTCTGTCCCTCCTCTTTTGATTATTGACCATCGTAACCTTGATCTAACAAGCCACGTGACATAACCTGAAGTGAACTTAAACAAATGAGTCAAAACCACCACGCGTGCACATTTCAAACTCTGGGCGCGTCGGGGAAACGCAAAGACACGATGGAGAGTGATTATGGTTTTAATCAAAGAGCCACTCCGGCTACATCGAACTATCTCTTGGCTGGATATATGGCTCACGAGTTCCTCACGTGCGGGACCATGTTGGGCCGGAAGCTGTATCCTGGATGGGCTGAAGTTGGGCCACTGGACTCGCCGCAACACAGGGAAGTGAAGAAGAAGGCTGATCACCAGAGCTACTCTGAGGTAGCGAGTGTGTTCAAGACAGATGGGACCCACGTCTCTGGTGTGGTTAACCCGACCCAGCTTGCTAAATGGATCCAGATGTGACTAATTATAATAGGTATTTTCAGCATCGATCATCGTTACCTTTAGTTTTCTTCTTTATGATAAGTCTCTTTGGATCTTTGATAATGTTATAATGTGATAAAATAACTATTAATTAGTCTTGTGTTTATCGTTTTGTCATCTAGTAATCGATTTGTAAGCATTTGTGTTTTACTATTACGTGCATTTTGCATGCCCATGATTAAGCTTGACGTTGAGTCAAGATCCCGAACATTACTATAAGAAAGAATCTTACTCTCTTAATTACGCAAAATATTTTTAGTTAATACTTTGTATAGATACGTAGATATGTGTGTTCTATGCAAGTCAAGAATTTATTGCGGACAGATACACCTGCTTGTAGTAGTGTGTACACTCCGATCTGTTCAATTCTTTCGAACTCATTGGGTCCCTTTCATCGTTCGCGAATCTCCTCCCTGCAAAAGATGGGTATTTCAAAAGATAAAAAAGAAAACATTGTTTGTATTTCTAGTTGCTCATAGTCATTTTCATCTCACAAAAGAGAGGTGGATATTATTCTTAATAAGAAGTATCAGAGTCATAACTACTAACAATGTTGATGCCATTACATCCCTCCACAAAATCCATCAAATAAGAAATAAGCCAACTAAGTCTGCTCAACTCAGCCTAATACGTACGGCACCACGAGATCGGCTCCATGGCTTTTCAATACAACTCAGACGCCACGAGCTCAACACACCAGCTCGACTTCATAGCTCCGCGACTAGGACCATGACCCGAGGACTCAGCCTAACCATTCGGCCTGCTAAGCTTAACCCAATTCCTTAGGTTAAACTGGCTTAGGGCAAAGAGGAGAGGGGAGTTAGTGTATAAAAATAAGACAAAGCCAATGAGGAAGGGGATCTAGACTTTACCACATAAAGACTGACGGTTAGAAGTTAGGGTTTTACTTAATCTTATTTCTTCTTGTCGACTTGTATTTTTCTGGCATACTCTGACGTTTGCCGGCTGATTCCTCATGTTCATAAACATTCTAACCTCATTATTTTCTGATCAATAAAAACACCTTTGAAATAACCTACAATCAAATTTGGATCTTCTTATTTATGTTGATCAAACTCAAATTCAACAACATTCACAATAACAATTACTCATATTGTAAATCTTATGACATTTTCACATTCTTTTTTTTTCTTTTTTTTTGTGCTAAAAGTTCACATTTAGATGACAATTAGTATTAAGCGGAAAGGAGCTCAAGCCTTTAGTTTCCAAAACTTTATGATGGATTATGTCGTTGGAAACAGCCATGTTAAGCAACCAAACATATACTATGCGTCCAAATCGTAATGATATGGGGTCCTACATTAAATATAATTATGGAAAGTTACTTTTTTAGAGACATAGAGCGTAAACATTCATTGCACCAAACCAAGATCTTTCTGCCATTGATTATCCTCAAGTGAGTGATAAGCAACTTTGAGGAACCAAGGCAATAGGAGTTAAAAGAAAAAAAAAAAACGATAGGACTGCATCAGACTCATATTGATAGCTTGCTTTCTCAGGTCTCCTTCCTTAACCGTATATCGTCTCTATTAATGTTTCTTCGTATTCCAACCAAGAATTAGTGGATCGCCATTTTACTTTATAATATTATGTCCTGATATTTTGTATGTTTATGTAGGACTATACAAATGGATATAAATTTAATGATTAAAATGTGTATAAACAATAAAAATGAAACGATACAAATGAAAACATGAATAAAATGTGAATTTGAAAATGATTTGGAAAGGCAAATGCATATGCTAGATTTGATCTCTTTTCAGTTCTAAAAATTGTTGGTATGAATTTTGTCTTAATTTCAAGATATTACTGCCACCATACTTAAAACATAATCTTCAAACTTAAAAAAACTATAAAAGAAGAGAAAAAAAAAACAAAAAATAAGTAAGTTTGTTCAAGTTTTCTCTTGTTAGGCGAATAATCAAAACTGCAATGCCCTACGGAACATTTTCAGATCATATGAGGAATGTTCTTGTCAGAAAATAAATGAGTTTAATATAAATCTATGATTACTTTCGGCTTGTGTTACTGTGTATACAGGTGATCTAAAAACAGTCTAAAAAGAATTCTAGGTATTGCTTAACATGGAGGTGGATGCAAGTATCTTGGACTTCCAAAACATTTTGAGAGAAAGAAATCAGATGTGTTTAAATACATTGTGGCTTGAGTTATGAAACGCACTTCCTCTTAGGGCGCAATTTTCTTAACACAAGCGGGAGAGAGATCCTTCTGAAATTAGTAGCAATCTCAATGCATGTGTTTTCTATGTTTTGCTACAACATTCAAGGACAGGTGGTGGACGAAATCCCAAGTTTTATTCGTCTTTTTTTTTTGTGGAAAAAATCCAAGATAAGAAAGGTATTCCAGGGGTTGGAACTTGGAACGAATTTCAGTTCTCAAAACAAGACGGTTGTTTAGGGTTACAGGATTTGGCAAAAATCAATGATGCTTTGTTGTCGAAGCAAGCTTGGCGACTCTTGAAACATCCTACGACTTTATTTGCTCGTTTATTCAAGGCCAAATATTTTGTAGATGTGTCTATGAATAAGCCACTTTACAGAGGCACCAAACCTTTGGTTAGTCCTCAATTCTTGTAGGTTTAGAGCTTATTAAAAAGGAAATAACTTCAACGTTGGCGATGGAACACACATAAGTGTCTATGAGGATAATTAGATACCTTCAAATCCTCCTCGCGCTGCTCTTAATCCTTGTGTCCGTGCAGACATTAGTGTTCAAAACCGCAACATGCATAATGGGAGGTGTCGTCAGTGGAACAAGTAGGCTCTTCCTCACTATTTATGTAAGGATGATCAAAGTTTGGTAAAAGTGTATACACATGTTATGGAAGAAGAGAAAGTTTTTGGTACTACAATGGAAGCGGTGATTACACCGTCAGATTGGGTCATTATTCAGTTATACCTTTAGATCATAGTATTCAACAAAGCCCTCGTCCACCTGGAGATTCTCTTCTAAAATCTAAAATATGGACACTCTTTATTCATCCAAGCACGTCGATTTTCATAAGGCACTACACAACAACACTCTTTGGAGACTAGTCATTCACAGTTCTGTATAGACCGACAACTTAAATGAAATTTGATCAAAAAGGTCATTGGTAGTTGGATTGTTCGTGAAACACTACAAGAAAACAGAGCGATACTGAGGGAATTTCCGAGGGAACGTTGTTTCCTCGGAATATTCCGATGATATTCCGAGGGAATTCCGAGGAAACACAATTTATGTGTTTCCTCGGAATTTCCTCGGAATATACCTAGGAAATTCCGAGGAACAAAAGTCTCCTCGGATTTTTCCGATGACATTCTGAGGACGCAATGTCCCTCGAAATAAACCCAGGAAAATCCGATGAGAAATTATGCTGTTAGATAGTCGTTGTGGTATTTCAAAAATTCCGAGGAAATTCCGACGCAAACGGCTATTCCCTCGGAATTTCCTCGGAATTTCGTGGGAATTGTCGGCAGATGATATCTATAAATACAAGCACCCCTCATCCTCTTCATTCACTCCATATCTTCATCCTCTCTCATTCTATTTTGCACACACGAATCTGATTGAAAAAACATGTCTTC